GTTTTGAAAGCAGAAGAATTTTCATTATTATTGTTCACTTGGGTTCCAAGTGGAACATAGGGCTTCAGCAACACATCTCCAGTTTGTTCTATTTTCTGTTGTCCTCTTCATCTGAACCCACGGTTGCCCATAAGCCCTCATCTCCTCCTCGCACGGCGTCCTCCATGTCACCCCTGGACGGTCCACTCGTCGTTTCCAATTTGGGTTCCACTCGAGCAACGGCCTGCATTCCGTGCGATGTAATTTGACTGTCTTCTCCCTATGTGCCCAATCCATCTCCATTTTGTCCTGCATATTTGTTGAACGATAGGTTCTTGGTTAGTTTGTTCCCATAGTTTCTTGTCGCTAATTATTTCCACCAGCCATTTGATCTTCAATAAAGAGCGAAGACAGCCGTTGATCAAAGTCTTCAACTTGTTGGAAATGCTTTTCCTGATTTGCAGTGCAAGTTCCTAACCCACATAAAACCACTGGCCGACTAGAGATTGGTGTTGAAAATCCGAATCTTGTTCATTATGCTGAGTGCAGAGGATTTCCAAGCCCATTTTAGAGTGATGGAGGTTTATCTTGCCTTTCCAATCCTGGCTATGACATCTTCATCTGTCCCACCTATGGTTGAAACAATAGTTGGAAGCAGTAGCATACAAAGTTGGAATTTCAGTCAATGAACATGTCTAATTTTGACTTCTAATAAAATTCGACCTCACTGTAAAATAAAATTTTAATGGAGAAATGAATAAATATTCAACTATGTCTATATGTAATTTCTTTTTCCATACATCGAAAATATGATTTTCCAGCATTCCGTGTGATTAAATTTAAGGAAAATGGAAGGTTAACTCGAGGAGGAGAAACTAATGAGTAATTAATTTTGAGCTAAGTTTTGGTGACATTACTGATTGCAACCATATTTTTATTATCATCATTTTGTTAGGCGTTATACAAGTAAAATATCTTTACCTAGTGCAACACGCAACAAAGCAGATTATTTTATGATGCTTCTTAGGAATTGCTTTACATACGTGTTATTGCTGAGTGAAAATCATACTAAAGGTAAACTGGCAAACGGTAGTTAGGAAAAATAATTCCCATCAGACAGGGCAAGTGAAACAGAAGGACTCATCCAGAAGAATTTCAATTTCAGCCCAACATACAGTCAAAGTGGGTGAATTTCTGGATTGTTCAATCATGTAGATCATAGCAACATATTTATCTTAATTTTCTAGATTAAAGTTTTATTGGAATCATAATGAACTTAAATCTAGTAAGTTGAAGATGTATTTTACCACAAGTAGCTGGCAAAAATTTCGATTTCAAATATTCAAAAGCATTAACTTCGGTTAAATGCACCTTGTGAGGAACTATAGCATGCTAAGTATTGGTTTAACACAACACAGTTCTAGATGCTTTCCGGTTGACCGCTTTATGATTATATGTATACTGAGAACATTAAGTATTAAGTAATTGAGGCCTAATCAAATTATTATATGATAAGAATACGAAGTATACTTCAAGAAGAACACTAATGTGTTTTTGCTATGCTTAAAAATTTGTTTTAATACTAGAAATATTTTCAGCCAGGCATTTCGTCTTCTATATGAAACCTCTGTTCCTGTTGGCAAAATACGCGTCACTAAATAGGTAAACCATGTCCTATGCGAACAAGAAAAATGGAGAAGAAAGAAGTACAGAGTTTAAGAGTTTGAATTGGTTAAAAAGATTCATAAAAAAATCTTTTCTATCTGTGTATACCTTAGGAATACTAAGTCAACAACTTAGGACAATGTTCAGATAAATTGAATGAAGAAACATGCACAAACACTATCAGTAGTTAATTAACATGATCAACACGTTTTTATTTGATTAGGATAATTATTGAATCTAATAACAATCTAGTGGTTCCCGGAATTCTTTTTTTGTGAGAATAGAGGAATAAACTCTTTTATTGTCTAAAATTAAATAAAATATTGCTATAAAAGAATGAATGTGCATCGGTGGCACAGTGGTTAGGACTCTCGCCGACCCTGCATATGGTCCGGGGTTCGACCCCCTGCCGGTGCACACCCGATATCTATGGTCGGCCTGCGAAATTTGGGCCACCGATATCCATGCTGAAAATTCCATACCTGTACCTAAAAATACGGTGTGGCATCAAGCTGCAATCAAAAAAATGTCGAAACTTTAGTTTACTTAGTTATTTATTTTTACATAAACTAAATTGAAACTTATTAAAGAGCTAACATGGAAATTGATGTTTGAAGCTGATTTACATGACTAACTACAGAAAAACATTAAAATCCCTGTATAACAACTAATGATGAGTGACTTTATTATTAGCACTGATAAACACAAAAAATTTGCTTATTTAAAAGAATTTAAAAAAGAGTAAAAAAGTAAATGGTAATCGACCCTTTGGAATGAAATCGCTTTCTGTAAGTTACTGCTAGGTAAAAAGTCTGTCTTAAATTATCAAGTGGTTTCAATGAGAAAGCATTGGGTAGCAAGCATGTGGTACAGCTTAAGTTAGATTTCTTCCAGAACCAGTATTAACTGTGGAACTTTTGAGGGAAAGGAAGTACTGGATAGGTGCTATGTTATGGTTTAAAGCTCTTCAGTGCTGAACACACACTACCTCTTCAGAATGCTCACAGTTGTGAAAAGTCCTAAACCAGAACGACACCTGTGCCGAGTGCTTCACGGTATTCAATGATTCTCCAACTGATATAGGTTCTCATTTAAATTAAAAGGTAGGTTTGAGGGGTATTTCAAAGTTCATGCTGCAGATAATGTAAGAATTTGAAATATATGAGTATATAGTACGTTATACATTCATTAGAATCTCTTTCATAACACTTTTGGAATTAATTGCCATTTTTAAGGCGATTAATGTTTGATATTCAGGTAATATTTAATTGTGTAGTAGTATTAGACAGGGTGGTTTATAGCAAGTCGACTGACAAAACGTAATGAATGTTTACAGATTCAAAATTTTATGCAAGTAGCTATATATATGTATCAGATAACTACAGTTAGATTAACCTGATTAAACCTGCCACTGAATTATAACTAATATTACATTTAAACCCTATGAGTTCAATTTTATTGGTTAATTCTAAGTCTCCTTTAAAAGTATTGAAACGAACAGTTACTTGATAAAAAAGCCATAGTAAGAAATGTCGCAAAATTTCCCATTCCAGTCACTAATTCTTTAACGAGGAAACTAAAGTATTCCTTATATTATTTACCGGCAATCTGTATACCATTCACTTCTGATAACAGCTTACGTGTATATCACTAAATCCTTTTTAACAACCAATTTATTTGTATATACCACAGTTGCGGGTTTCAGTCTAAACATACAACTTTATGCTAAACGACGAATAATTACTCGGAAGTGCATTCTAGTCGAATATTATAACGTCACAAGTATAATTATTTGATTCAAACGTCATTGTAATCTTGGTAAATGCAGCATTTGGTATTCTAATGTGTCATTAATATTACTTCATACTTTCACTATTATATTTTACTGTGAATACGAAATATCTAGACAAACGTTAGTTGTACTTTGAACTGGCCTGCTTGATACTCATAAAAAATTAAGCGCCCGATATAAATAACTCAGTTTTATAGCTTTTGACAGAATATTCGTTTATTTACTAAGCTCAGTATGCGAACGACACAATTTAGCCGAGAAGAACCACAATAAAAGAAAGTGCATATGGAAGAATAGATGGAATTGTTTCATAAAACCTATTAGTCTCGTGTGTGTGGACTATTATTAGTGGAATATAGTTGCTACATCTTCAGTTGCCATCATAAGTTAGTATTGTAAAAATACAGTTTAATTCATTATAAGCGATAAAATAGGATATTCTGTTTTAAGATAATCGGGATCATAGAAGCTATATGCTTTTTGAAGTTAACTCATAGCCTCATATGACTTAACAGGAATATCATATAAGTTGCAGCAATGTAGTCATGCGGTTATCCATTTTAAAATATTTTATGAAGTATTAAATTAGGTTAAGAGAAAGGTATGTAATGTTTCATTTGATGAGGTGACTAGAGTAGTTGGACATCGTTTCTATGTGGGTTTTTTTTCTCAGCTGTTCAAAAGCATAGAAAGTAGAGCAATTATTCTGAACTCACTGGCAATGAAATCTTATGTCCAGTTAAATAGTGACATAATGTATTTATGAGTTTGACAAACCCATTTAGTATGTTAAATGGAAGCAAGAGAAATTATCAAAATCAAAATCTACTGCTACCTTAATCACAGCACTTCCAGGCGGTCACTTTATTAACGTTGAAATTATTTGCATAGTATTCTATTTTTTGAATTTAGAATATATATATTTAAGCATACTACATGAAAAGGATGTCAGCAAATGGATGAATCGCTTGTACTTTCAATGAAAGCCCAATACATCAGACAATATAAACTGGAGACATTTATTTTGTTACATAAAACATGACAGGAAAACCATACAAATAAAAGTAATGATAATTATGCTATAGCAAACTTAAATAAAATAATATACTGTTATGGAATCAAATTACAAGACAATAATTTAGGGAACTATAAGATATTTAAAAAAATCCTTTAGAGGAGAAAAGTATTAAGACCTGTCAGCTAAAATAGTGAGGTCGTTTCAGAGTGGAACTACTCTTATACACCCTTTGAATGTCAGCCAAAATCTAAAGTATAAGTCTCTGTTAAACCTAAGTGATAGTCATAAATTGTGAGTCGGAAACCACTGAATACATCATAAATGCAATGACTAACATGAAGTTTTGAGTTTGAAAGTACGTTTTGTTAACCAAATGTCTAATTACACCTGAATTTATGAAACCTTTGAATCAGTATCTGTTTCATCTAACCCTTAAGAACTTAAAATTATTGATAAAGAATGTTTGATTCGCATTTGATTTTATCATTTTTTTGAATGGAAATGATAGCTTTGATGTTTAAACATCAGACAGTATTTATAACTTACCAATAGTAGTAATAACTGTGACAGAATATAGCAAAGCACCAGTCACTGTCCAAGGATCTAGATATCCCTCGACTACATCATTTTCAGATGTTTTGTCAGAATAATTCCTTGACTTATTCAATTTGTCACACGGACATAATGTTCCATTTGTACAAGTACACATTTTATTCCTCGAACTATCAGTATCATAGTTATTATCAGAATTTTGAATATCACTACTGTTGTACAGTGTACAATTGTTATATTTATAACATTGAGATTCCATACTTTCAAACTTTTTATCAACTGGTAAGTTACTAACAGTTTGTACAGGTCTCCATCCTGCATCGCATGCAGCGTATGTAGCTAGTACTAAATTTTTGATAACTCCAGTTGTATTAAACATAACATGTTCAGTTCTATATTTTAAGTTTATAGTCAAATTTCTGTGCAAATTGTACAATACATCCATACTGGAAACTGTGTCGAAGGTGCTTTCATTTCCCGCCATTGGTGTAATCGGTTTTGTTGATAGTTTATTAAACTTTTCAAATTCAACTTCAAAATCTTTTGGATTTGTAGGAAATCCATAGGATAATAAAATTCTAATCATCTCATTTTTCCATTTTATTTCATTTTCATACCATCTTTTTACATGTTCGGTACACATTTCTAATGAATCTTGATGAAAGGTAACTAGTAAACGTTGAATATGATTTTGTTGTTTCATTAGTTCTGTTGTCTTATTACGGATAACATCTGCTTGGTAGCTTTTTTCAATATAACGAAACAGAAATGCACCTAATGAACAATATCCAACTACAACTAGACACAAACCAATATGAGAAAATAAAAATACAATTAATTTTTTAAGATATTTTTTAAATTTTATACATTTTGGATTCTCAGGTTTTCGTTTAACTTTTAAACTTTCACTATGATGTTGTTGTTGTTGTTGATGTTGACTGAGACCGTCCTGAAAAACAGAATTTCGACCATAAAATCTATAATCCCTGCCTTTTATTGGACGCAGTGGTGGACAGATGTCATCACTGGATTCAGTTTTTGATGAGGGTGTTGGACTTCTGACAATTTCTGGATTTTCAATTACTGGTGTAGTGTGACCACTATCGTCTATGTATTCCTCAGTTATTCCGTCATTTTGAATTACGGTCACATCGTTATATCCATTTTGAGGTAGACTGGGTTGATATCCTTCTTCTTCTTCTTCTACTCTCCTTTCACCATCTATTTCAATTTTGTTACTGACATTTTCACCGGAGTCTTCCACTGTTGTGTTTTCTGGATTATCAACAATGCGAATAAATCTTGGAATGTTGGACTCCGGTAATTGAGTTACAATAAAATGAATATTTGACATGATGTGAGAAAAAAGGAGAGACTAATTAATTTCCATAAAAATGTTTGTTTCTTAGTTCTTGGAAAATTTATGAGATGTTTAGTGTTAACATAGGCATTACAATACAGTCTGGGAAAATTATGACCGAAAATAAGCCTTTTGATCTTATATATATATATATATATATATATATATATATATAAAGCAGCTTTAATAACCAATTGTTGGTAAATTATATAACGTCTGATAATTATTCAATTCTTATTGGTTGGCCGTTGGAATGCCTAAATTTCCGACCTACTAAATAAGTATAACCTGATATATTATGATTCTATTATGGATAATTATTAGGAGAAAAGAACAACACAATAAATGAATAAGTTGACGACAACATTTCATCTTCTATTGACGAAACAAAGTGGGCGACCAACTTTTCATCAAGAGAATCAAGCTCTAGTAAGATAAAACTGCTTGAAAAATGATTAAATTTTAATGTAAGAGTTAGTGAACTAAAACCAGAGGATGTCATCCCTAACATAGAGGTAGTATTTAGTTCAATAGATAAAACAACAGCTGAAAAGGTTCGAGCACAATGTGCATTAACTTTTAAGAAACATAAGAAGGCACAGTCAAACTTAACAAAATCGGAAAGACTAGCTCTAATTCGTCTAAAACAGGATAAAAACATCGTCATCACAAAAGCTGATAAAGGAAACTCTACAGTAGTTTTGGATAAATCTGACTATATCAAGAAAGTCACTGAACACACTGAATCGGGTCCATATGAAGAAATTTAGAAGCCTGTAGACACAATACCGAATAAGATTAAGAAATCTACAGCGAATTTAATACGCAGTATGAAGCTGTCACTGGGTGAGTCTAAATGGTTTAACTTAATGCCTAAAACTGATAACGCTAGTAGAATATATGGTACTATAAAAATGCATAAACCAGGTTGCTCCATAAGACCGATTGCAGATTTCAGAAATACGCCTACTTATGAATTATCAAACACTTAGCTCTAATATTATGTCCCATTAGAAATCGTTTGAACTGTAGGCTAACTAATTCACATAAGATGAAGAAGAAACTAAATGACACTCAATTAGAGAATGATGAAAAAAATGGTCAGTTTTGGTATCACTAGTCTTTATACCAATATCCCAATCACTCCTAAACTTACTCATAGACAAAGCTACCCATTTCGGAGATGTGAGGACAAATACTCGCCGAAGACATTGACTAGCGGTCACGCTATGTCCTGAATTGGCAGAAGTTGGAATTCATGGGCCATTGGATCGGGCCCCAGTGGCTTAACGGTCTACGAGTTCACTAGCCTTGTAACCAGAAAGTCCTGAGTTCGAACCCCGGTGGGTGCGTACTGACGAAAAGTCCCAAACTAGGATGACGAAACAGCCGTCCAGTACTCCCAAGTTTTTCACTGGTTCTGTAACCGATGTCAGCTCATGATGAAATCCTGTAACCATTCAGTAGATTATTTTAGGAATTCAATTATGCCTCACATCTACTGTCTTCAGATTCCAGGATAAAATATACAGACAAACAGAAGGTGTGGCGATAGGATCACCAATATTCCCTATCGTAGCAGATATCTTTATGGGCAGCTGGGAAAATATTGCTCTTAATACATTTAATCCTACTCCAAAAATATGGTGGAGATATGTGGATGACACTTTCACAGTGTTTAAAACAGAACATATCTCTAGCTTCTTGACGTATATAAACTCACTAGTAAAGGGAATAAAATTCACATTTGAATCGGAACTGCACACTAGCGTTTTTAAAAAGCCAACGCATTCTAATAGATATTTAGACTTTAATTCATCTCATCCGTTGTCTGTAAAGGCTGGCGTAGTTAAGTGTCTAACAAACCGAGCAGTAGCACTAAGTAGTACAACAAGAACTTAAATGATGAAATGAAACAGATAGAAGAAGCTTAGTGTTAAATAATTATCCTATAAAATGCATTAGGAATATCAAAAAAGGTCAAAAGCAAAGTAAAAACAATAGTAAAACCAATAGTGATAACATAAATAAGAAAGAATATAAGGCATCTACAGTTCTACCATATAAGGAGGGGACATCTGAGACCCTACGTAGGATTCTCATAAGGTAGGAATTAGAGTGACATTTAAACCTACAAACTCACTCAGGTAGGACAAGCTCTGTAGGTTAAAGGACCCTGTCGGTTGACCCAATTAGACAAAAAAATAATATAATTTACAAAATACCCTGCAATGACTGTGAAGTCAATTACATAGGTCAAACTAGTAGGTCGGGGGTAGTCAGATTATCAGAACATAAGAATTTAGCTAAGGGCAGAATGGTTGACCCTGAAAAGATAAGTAATTTAGAAAAAACTCAGCAATCGCTTTGCATGCATTAACACACAACCATACAATAGGGTGGGTGGAAGAGGGTCAAAATTCTAAAAAGTAATCTAGGTAGGTGGAGAGAGATTGATTACAGAATCCTGGCTCATCGAATAATCTACACTGAACACATGCAATAGAAGTGACCCAACGCAAAAACCAGAGATATGGCAGATATTTTTACCAGTCAAATCAGAGGATAATAAATACTGTTAAAATTTATTCAATTCACATTGTAACATTTTAAGTTACTTAATTTACTACAAAAGACATCTTACTGCCCATCTTAATGACTAACAACACTTGTCTTATTTCCCATCGTATTAAATTTTTTTGATAACATTAATATAGTTTCTGAATGTACTTTATCTTCCTTTCCTTTTCATGCATGTCTGTAAAAACTTTATTGATTTTAATCATATGACTAGTCAATTTTTACTCGTGTATATAAATGAAGCAAGAAAGTTGTGTGAATACCTTGATATAATTATGAGCAATAAAGTGTGCTCGAAACGTCATCAGTGAACATTACTGTATAACACTGAGCAATGTTATAAAAATAAATTTTATCCATAATGGAATTATACTCTACCACAGTGCACAAGTTTTATCCTTTTGTCAACTGATATAATGTGTTCTAGCTAAGCAAAAGTTTTCGATAAATTATCACTTCTTTAAACTCTCCAACCTATAATCCTACTGAAATTTCTAACACTAATAAAGGGATGATTAGACTCTCTAGAGTAATGCTGATTAAATGACTTGAGATTATCAAGATAGAATTAGTTCTGAATAAATTCCTAGTAATCAAGCTGATGATGTATGAAGTCAATTATGCTAATTAATAGCTTATTGAGATTCACTTGTAGTATATATATATATATATATATCAAGAATGTTTACTATTTCAAATGGGCGCTTTAATGGAAAGACGAGTCAAATCAAGAGGAAACCCTAGTTCGGGGGGAGTCGTGCTGACTGTCTTCAGTCCAGTACTTCTTAAAGCTTATAGTCTGCCATAGAATTTCCACTAATTTGAGAATTAAAACAAAGAAAGACCAGATTTGCAGTATAAAATGATATTATTCTATTACACAGGTTCTCATCATCTTCAAACTACCTGCAGCTGATAAGAACCTGTGAAATAGAATAATATCATTTTATACTGCAAATTTGGTCTTTCTTTCTCCATCGAAATTTATCAAAGGAACCAAATGCATGAAAACAAAGGAACATTTTCGGACAATCGAAATGATTATTCACTAGATCACGGATAAATTATTTCACTCGTATTTTCCGTTAACTGAACAGTATTCATGAGGAATGTGATCATTTACAGGTTTTCTGAAAATACTTCGACAAACTTTTCATAACTTTTAGGTGATTTGTAACTACAGTATATGAAAGGTTAACCAGCGACATGTTCCATTCAAACAAATGCTTCATCTTCTAGTGAGTGTACAGTTACCACTGAATTGACATTTCTCCATTTAGCAACGAACAAGCCATGCAAAGCCATGATCAAGCGTATCTTGCACACTGTATTGTTTATTTTAAACTTGAGGAACTTTCCAGTTAATTCACATCTATTTTGCCAACTTAAATATATCCCGGAACACATAGAGAAATTCCATTGACTTTGCTTCGCACGGTATCTACAAGTTCACCTGCACTACAGATAAGTCTAGTCCATGCCAAATTCCGTGTGCACATAAAAACTGATTACAATCTTGAGCTTCTGTGCACTAAATGAAGTACTAAATATGATTGCTTATTAAAGTTCTGTTATCTTGCTTGACTATAATGTAATGAAATATTTTATTCTCAAACTTCCTAGTTGTATTTGACTGATGTAGGTTTGAACAAAATAATCAAAAAAAACTACGCAGAACGATTAAAGGTGAAGCAGGTAAATTTATAGAATATTTACAATAACTTGTAAACAAGATGGGGGAATTAAGGAGGTAAAAAGATAATAAATGATCGAGATCAGCTTGTTATTCTTCCTTTCAGTTTGATCGTTTTGTTGAAGTATATAAACAGTTCTCTTTGTGATTGCTGGGTTTTAATAAACAGAATAGTGCGTCGGTGGTATAGCGGTTAGGACGCTAGCCGACCATGCACACGGTTCGGAGTTCGATCCCCGACCGACGCACTCCTTTACCTCGCTGAGCCAGAAATAATGCTGGTGAAGAAGAAAGGTTGGGCATGAGGCTAGCAACCCTATTCTGTAAAACAAACACTGCTACAGAAACTTCAGGCCACTAGCTTGAAGCCCTATGTTCCACTGGGGAACGTGAAGGAAAAAAAATGATAAATAAACAGAATACATACCCAATTATAACTGTAATTAATTGTTATTCCTGGAATCTTGTTAAATCAGAGATAGCAGATACTAAATGGAAAGTGTTGTGTGGTTATTGGTTCAATCTGTAGTCCTACTGAATTTTGAAAACTCTCTTCTTGTTATTATGGCACTTGATAATATAAATGAGCTTGTGACTTGGCAGTATTTATGCAGTTACGGTTGATACGTGGTTTTACTTTCACTCTTAATTTTCACCTCCTAGTATCCATAAAAAATGGTACGCAAACAAAATTGATCAGCCGTATAACACCGAACAACTTTTCGTAAAATTTCAACGAAATGGCTTTTCCTTGAACAGTCTTGTTAAGCGATTCTGATATATCTCCGTGAAGTTAAGAAACCAGTCTTAGGTGTATTTATTTTAAAGAAACCGGAATG